CCCAAGAGCTCAAAAACAGGTGACTGGATAAGGAAATTATGGTAATATATACAATGGAGTTCATCAGTTAGAAGATGAAATCAGGGCCAGAGAGATAGAACAGCAGGTAGGGTGCTTGCCTTTCATGAGGCCGACTGTGTTGGAGTCTCAGCATCCCATATGGTCCCTCAAGCACTGCCAGGAGTAATTCCTGCGTGCAGAGTCAGAAGTAGCCCCTGAGCATCGCCAGGTATGGCCCAAGTACCCCTATCCTCCCCCTCCTCTAAGTAAAAAATCAGCCTCCTTTTATGTGTTCTGCAGCGTTTCAGTCTTTGGCCTAAGTTCATCCATTTAGTCTTCCATGCATTGATTCAACTGGTATATTGCCACTGTTTTGTCCTGGAGTCCTGTTCAAGATGCTGAGGATATAGAAATTAGGAAAACCATCTCCCTTACTAAGAGAGCTCAGTAGGAAGCAGAAGAGATAGACAAGCAAATTTGGCAGGGGTGGGGGGCATACCCAGCTATGCTCAGGAATCACTCCCGGTGGTGCTCAGGAGATCATATGGGATGCTGGGAATCAAACACGGTCAGCTGCATACCAGGCAAGTGCCCGCGGTGCTGTGCTATCACTCTGACCTTGAAAAGGCAACTTTTCAGTTTTTTTTTAACCATCCTTCATAGTCTTCATCTCCCTAGTCAGAGAGACCAGTTGCTTCCTTCCTCTGCCCACACCTGGCCTCCCTTAGGATAACGAGGCTACCTGGGGACTGGGAATAAAGGTGTGCGGAAATGGAGGGGCAGAAGGTCTTCTGGGCAGAGGAAGACAGGATGGGGAGGCCCCAAGCATTCATCGTCTAGATCTCCTCCCTGGGTCTGTGTGCATATCTCAGCCCGCCCCCTGGTTTGCCACACTCAACTTCCTGCCCCTCCAGAGGAAGTGGGGAGCAGTGGCTGCAGGTGCAGTGGTGGACGCAGGGTCATGGTGAGTCTCTCTGGCCTAGAATCCAGCCTCTCTGCCCCCAGCCCTAGGGTTGTTGGGCACAGATGATGCCACAGCAGGCTGAATTCTCCAATCCTCTGGGTTCAGGTCGGAGGAGGGTGGGGGGGGGGCAGGACGGGGGTGTGTGTGGGGGGAGGCTGCCTGCTGCTGGCAGTGGCCTCGCACTGTCCACCCCCTTCAACAGGACAAGGAGTACGTGGGTTTCGCTGCTCTCCCCACTCAGCTGCACCGCAAGTCTGTCAAGAAGGGGTTTGACTTCACTCTCATGGTGGCAGGTTTGTTTCTTTTTGTTTTTTCTGTTTTTGCTCTTTGGGTCACACCCGGCTATGCACAGTGGTGACTTCTGGCTCATATACTCAGGAATTACTCCTGGCGGTGCTCAGGGGACCATATAGGATGCTGGGAATCGGACCCGGGGTCGGCTGAGTGCAAGGCAAACACCCTACCTGCTCTGCTATCGCTCCAGCGCCCGGTCTGGGGGTTTTGGAGAAGAGGCTGGATGGGGGTCCTCAAAAGGCCAGAGGAGTCACCTCACCTGATGGGTTGGGCCTGTCCTGTCCGCAGGAGAGTCGGGTCTGGGGAAATCCACCCTCATCAACAGCTTGTTTCTCACCAACCTCTATGAGGACCGGCAGCTGCCAGAGGCCAGTGGTAAGCTCCTTCCTGCCTCTCGGGCACTCGGTCGCCCTCGCCAGTGCCCTCTCTGTCCCTGCCCTGGTTGTCTCCCAACTGGGTGCATCTCTGTCTCTGGGTGCTTCTGCCTGAGGCCGTGTCCCTTCTTAAAAGACAGGGTGGGGGCAACTGTGGTACTGGAAAAGGAAACAGCTCTAGCCTCCCCCTCCAGTTCCCTGATGTCTCTCGCCCCACAGCTCGGCTGTCACAAACACTGAGCATTGAGCGCCGGGGAGTGGAGATCGAGGAGGGGGGCATTAAGGTGAAGCTGACCGTGGTGGACACACCTGGCTTTGGGGACTCAGTGGACTGCTCTGACTGGTGAGGAGACTGGGAGAGGAAGGGGTTAACCCCCCAGTATGGCTGCTCCATGAAGACTGAGGGGTGAGATGGGGCCAGCCCAGCTTCCCCACACCTGTCACAAGAGGTGGGGCTGTTTCTGGTGACCATCTGGCCCCAAGTGTCCTGGGCCACCCAACCCCTCGCTTCCACCCTACCCTGTGGCCCCGACTCTGACCACTGTGTCTCCCCACCCCCAGCTCTAATCACTGTGTCTCTCCACCCTTAGCTGGCTGCCTGTGGTGCGCTTCATTGAGGAACAATTTGAGCAGTATCTCAGAGATGAGAGTGGCCTGAACCGGAAGAACATCCAAGATTCCCGTGTTCACTGCTGCCTCTACTTCATCTCACCCTTTGGCCGGGGGTCTGGAGGGCTCTCCGGGGCAAGGGGGCATCTTCTGGGAAGGGGGGCTCTCTGCAATGGGAGGCTGAGCCCCAATTCCTGCATGCAGGCTCAGGCCCCTCGATGTAGCCTTCCTCCGGGCCGTGCATGAGAAGGTCAACATCATCCCAGTCATTGGCAAAGCAGATGCCTTGATGCCTAAGGAAATCCAAGCCCTCAAGCAGAAGGTATGCAAGGGCCTGGGGCGGGAGAGATAGTACACTGGGTAAGGTGCTTGCATGCACACGCATGCCTGACCCAGGTTTGCCTGACATGGGTTCAATCGAACCCCTGGCATCCCTGGAGCACTGCCAGGAGTGCAGAGTAAGGAGTAATTCCTGAGCATTGCCAGGTATGTCAAAAACAAAACAAAACAGGGACTGGAGCAACAGTACAGCGGGTAGGGCATTTGCCTTGCACACGGCCTACCCGGGTTCAACTCCCAGCATCCCATATAGTCCCCAGAGCACCACCAGGAGTAATTCCTGAGTGCAGAGCCAAGAGTAACCCCTGAGCATCGCCGGTTGTGACCCCAAAAAAGAAAAAAAAAAACCTGAAGGTATATGAGGTCCTTTAAGCTTGAAGCTCAGTCACCAGGGGAAGAGAAAGTCCAAAAGGCCAGAGTTTTGAATCCACGCTTTCCACGGGGGAGACCTGGGTTCAATCCCTGGCCCTCCATGTTCCATTTAGCACACGGGCGCAATCCCTGAACACCAAGCTAAGAGTAGCCTTGAAGCATCCTTGGGTGTGGCCCCGGGAAACCAAATGGCAACAACAAAATAACCAAAACTCATGACCCAATCTAAATTGTTTTGACTTCTTTCATCTTTCTGGAGCAAGATGTTGGGTTCAACTTTGGGAGTTTCTGAGGAGCGTGGGTTGAAAGGTCCCTGAAGCAGCCTGTTTTGACTCAACATAAGTCCTGGCTGCAGACTTGGCTAAGGCAGGTCTGAGGGCAAGTGTAGACACTAGGAACCCCCAGATCCCTCTGGCCCTGGGCAGAAGGCAGCTCCCTCTAGTATCTAGGGCTCCCCCTCCCAGTTCTCTGGGTTCTCTGCCCTCAGTCCGCTTTCCCTTGTCCCTCTTCCTCCCCACCTGCCTTAGGCTTCCTGGTGCTGGAGATCCTGGTTCTATTCACCTCTCATGATGCCTGTCTCTGTATCTCCTCCCAGATACGGGACCAGCTGAAGGAGGAGGAGATCAACATCTACCAGTTCCCAGACTGCGACTCTGATGAGGACGAGGACTTCAAGAGACAGGATGCTGAGATGAAGGTGCAGATGCGAGGGCAGAGGGCTTGTGGGGGAGGGGAGGAGAGGCGGAGGCTGGGAAGGGTGTCCCTGTTCACCGACCGCGGCCCCTGCCGTCCAGGAAAGCATCCCGTTCGCAGTGGTGGGCTCCTGCGAGGTAGTGAGGGCCAGTGAGACCGGACCAGTGAGGGGGCGCCGCTACTCCTGGGGTACCGTGGAGGGTGAGTCAAGCGGAACACCCGCGGCCAGCTGGGACTGCAGCCCAGTCATTTGCACCCAACATTTGCTCTGGTCAAAGGGGTCCTAAGGAGCCCTGACGGGGTCCTTGTGCGGCAAACCCTGGACGCGCCCCTCAAGCGATGGCCAGCTGGGGCGGGGGGGGGGGGGGGGGGGGGGAGGCAGCGCCCTGACGCTCTCGGGTCTGCCCCCCAGTGGAGAACCCACTTCACTGCGATTTCCTGAACCTGCGACGGATGCTGGTGCAGACACACCTACAGGACCTGAAGGAGGTGACGCACGAGCTGCTCTACGAGGGCTACCGGGCCCGCTGCTTACAGAGCCTGGCCAGGCCCGGGGCGCGGGATCGCGCCAGCCGGAGGTGAGAGCCGCAGCCCAGGCCAAGGGGCCGTCCTCCCCGCTCCGGGAGGTCTCCTGGCGCCCAGGTCGCCCCCCACCCCGCGCCGCCCCGAGGTCGTAGCCGTCGGTCCTAGACTCGTGTCCTTCTCCCGCACCCTCTAGTAAGCTCTCCCGCCAGAGCGCCACAGAGATCCCGCTGCCCATGCTGCCTCTGGCCGAGACGGAGAAGCTGATCCGCGAGAAAGACGAAGAGGTGAGTTCCCCGCGCCCCCTACCCCCAGCCCAGAGCCCAGTCCTCGTCGAAGTCCTCCTGTGGCCTCGCCTCATCCCACCGCCCCATCCCATCTTGCCCCGCACAGCTGCGCCGCATGCAGGAGATGCTGGAGAAGATGCAGGCGCAGATGCAGCAGAGCCAGGCCCCGGGCGAGCAGTCGGACACGCTCTGAGCCGGGTTCCCTCGGCTCCGCCTTCCGCCCGTCTCGCGTACAACCCCGGCCGCGGGCTGCCCAGCGGCTCCCGCAGCCCCGCCCCCGCCCCGCCCCTCCCCGCCGCGCCCCTCCCGCCGCCCGCTTTCAATAAAGTCTGCGTTTTGCTGAGGCTGTTCGAGTCCTTTCATCCCGTCGGGAAAAAGTGGCGGCCGTCGCAAGTGGACACCCCCCGTCCCCCCCCCCGTGCCCCCAAGTCTGCAGGCCACTAGCCCTCCCCGCAGGGGTTCAGTCCGGCCTCCCGCCCTTCCGTCCCGACACGGAGGCGCGGCGAGGTAGGAAACAAAGACCAGGCGGATTTTATTGGGGGTCTGGCCGGCAGGAAGGCGGGGCCCGCGCCCGCCCCCCGGGCGCTCCTACTCCTGGTCCTTGGCGTCGCCGTGCGTGATGACGTAGCAGATGTTCTTGTAGTCCACGTTGCCGCCCACGTCGGGGGGAAAGGCTGCCCACATGTTCTTGATCTGGGGAAAGACGGACACGGGGCCATCTCCCACCGGCCCTGTCTCTGCCCTCCCGGCTCCGCTTCTCCCGGGCCTCGTGCCCACTCACCTCTTCCTGGGAGAAGCGGTCACACTGCGTGGTCAGCAGCTCCTCCAGGCTGCAGAGAAGTGACAGGGCAGAGGGCCGGAGGGGGATGTTTGCGATTGAATTTCATGGCCTTCCTCCCACCCGAGCGGTGCCCTTCCCCAGCCTCGCCCTGCAAGCCAGGGCCATCTGGCCTTCATATTTGCTCTCTGCACGCTGAAGCCCACGGGCCCATTTCCACATTCCTAGTTTCCCTCGTTCCGGCAGCGCCGCACCCGTGGTAGGAATTTAAGGAGGTTTTCCTTAAAACTTGGAGGGGCCACTTACAACTGTTTCTTAATGGTGCCCTTCCCCTCAGGGTCCAGGATCTTGAAAGCTCCAGTGATCACGTCCTCAGGATCTGCGCCTGGCGGGGGTCAAAAGAGCACACTGGGAGTCAAAGGGCACACAGAAGCTGAGGGTCCTGGAGTGATCTGAACCCTGAGGGGTCTGGGGAGGACGCAGCCAGTGAGGTTTTGGATAAGGGACACTTCAGTCACCTTTGAGCTTCTCCCCGAACATGGTGAGGAAGACAGTGAAGTTGATGGGCCCGCTGGCTTCCTTCATCATGGCATCTAGCTCCTCATTCTTCACATTCAGGCGCCCTGGAGTAGGGTAGGGGGAGCAAGGCCTGGAGGAGGGGGACTGATGCTTGCCAGGACCCCTTTGTCATATGGGTAGAGTGAGGTCGAGGGTGGAACTGGAAGGGCTAGAGTCAAAGGTTACCAAGTCCCCTGGGCTCTGCAGGCCTGAGTCTTTGGGGGGGGGGGGGGGGGGGGTTGGGGGGGGTGCTCACCCATGGCTGCAAAGGTGTCCCGCAGGTCTTCCTTGTCGATAATGCCATCACGGTTCTGGTCAATCACAGTGAAGGCCTGTGGAGACAGAGGTGGGGACATCAGTTCTCTGCATCCAGGCTTTGCACTGGCCCCTGGCAGGTCGGGCTCTGGCCCCCAGCCAGCTGTCCTCTGACACCCTGAGCAGGGAGGGGAATTAGCAATCTAAAACCCTTCCCTCCCCAACAGGTGCACATTCCAGAGAGGGGGGTGGGGGAGGGTGCGGCAGGGGGTGCTCTGGGCAGGACAGTTTCTTTCTCACCTCCTTGAACTCCTGGATCTGGGTTTGGTCGAACATGGAGAAGACATTGGAGCTCCCGCCCTCTGCTGCTGCCCTTCTCTTGGCTTTCTTGGGTGCCTGGAGGGTGAGGGTTGGCCAAAGCGTCAGTCCCTATTCTCTGAAGGTAATGGATTAGATTCAGGCTTGTTTCAGACTAATTCCAGCTCTAGTCAAGCTCCCATCTTCCACCCCTCCATCCCCCACCTCATAGCCTCCCTGCTGAGGGAACTTGCTTCAGTTGCCTCCAAGTTCCTAGCTGCAGCCCTTGAATCCCCTATTCTTCCTTCCTGACTAATAAGGAGAAGGTCCCCAGCCCCTTCTGGGAAGACTGAGCCTGCCTCTGAGACTTTGGATCCGATACAACTCATTAACTCTGTTGGAGTCTGGCTGGTCCCACAGGCATTTAGGTAGGCAACTCTGAGGGCCTGGGTCCTGTGATGGCCCAGCCTCTCCAGAAGGCCATCGCTGTATGGAGTTCATTAATGACATTAAGAAAGAGGATTCAGGAAGAGGAATGGGGGAGGGGAGGGAGAGAGAGAGAGAGAGAGAGAGAGAGAGAGAGAGAGAGAGAGAGAGAGAGAGAGTATTCCCCAGCACACATGATTTCCAGTTTTTTTTTTTTTTGGTTTGGTTTTTGGGTCACACCAGCAATGCACAGGGGTTACTCCTAGCTATGCACTCTCTGCACTCAGGAATTACTCCTGGAAGTGCTCAGGGGACCATATGGGACGCTGGGAATCGAACCCGGGTTGGCCACGTGCAAGGCAAACGCCCTACCTGCTGAGCTATCGCTCCAGCCCACACACATGGTTTCCAAAGCCTCAGGAGCAATCCCCAAGTACAGAGCCTGAATAGCCTCTGAGGATGTCCAGAAGTGCCCCCCACCAAAAAAAAAAAAAAAAAAAAAAACACCCAAAAATAAAAAAAGAGAGAACTTTTCTTTTCTCAGAACCAGCTGCTTTCTCTCAAGGGCAGAGTGGTGGGAGACTGAGGGCAAGGCGATGGTCACTCACCATGTCTGGTGTCTTGCAAACAAGGTGGTGTCTCTGGCTGGGAAGAAGCAGAGTCAGTCTGGGATGGACCCTCTGGCGTTATATAGTCTGCTCAGGGAGCCTTAACATACCAGGGTAACCTTAGCCCTGCGGGTGCCCACCCCAGATACCAAAATAGCCTGGCTCTGCCTCTCCTTTCTTGGAGGGCCCGCAGCAGCTGGAGCAGGAGGGAGGGAGCAAGGGAGGGGCAGGCAGAGGGAGTGGGTCCTGGGGTGCCATTTCGATAGGACCTGTTTTCTCCCCACAGGGGGCTAGAATGTGCCTAAATTCAGAGTGACCCAAGCTGAGGCACAGTCCAGGGAGAAGGATGAACCAGGCCCCTGCTGCCCTGGTGATGGGAGGGTTTATATATTTCAATTCAGCCCATCAGGCACTAAGCCATGCTTTGTGCACTTTGAAAAACAGAGCCCCCCCATTTTGTGGAGGTCACAGTCAAGTCTTCTGTGTGGCAGAGTTGGGGTTTTGTGTTGGGGTGTGGGGTTTTTTTTTTTTTTTTTTTTTTGCTTTTTGGGTCACACCCGGTGATGCACAGGGGTTACTCCTGGCTCATGCACTCAGGAATCAATCCTGGCGGTGCTCAGGGGACCATATGGGATGCTGGGAATCGAACCCGGGTCGGCCGCGTGCAAATGCCCTACCCGCTGTGCTGTCGCTCCAGCCCTGAACCTTAGGAGGTACTGGGGATTGAACTGAACCTGGATCGGCCCTGTGCAAGGCAAACGCCCTACCCACTCTACTCTGGCTCCGGCCCCCAATGTGTGGCAGAGTTGAACAACAGAAACGGAAACGGAAGTCCCAGGAAGATCTTTTACATTGCCCTCAAGGAGAGGCACAGTTTGTTCTGTTGGGTTTTGTTTTGTATTTTTGTCACACCAGAGGTGCTCTGGGGCTGCTCCTGTGAGCTCAGGGATCCCTTCAGGCGGTGCTTGGGGGACTTTATGCAGTGCTAGGGATCAACATTGGTCTGGCTAGAGCAAGGCAAGCGCAAGCGCCTAAGCCCTTGTCCTAGCTCTCTGAGCCAAAGAGGAGGGAATTTTGAGCGCATAGTTGCAGACCTGGGCGCAAGAGCTAAAGAGCACAGACCAGCTGGAGCCAGAGCGGATGAGCGGAGACTTGGTGTTTCGACTTCCTGAGCCTTGCTTTCCCTTTCTATTAAATAAGTATGTGATTCCCATTGCACAGAATGTGGGAATGTGAACACTGCTTGGAAAGAGTGTAGTGAGCCATGATCATAAGGAGGTCCTGCCTTGGTGGAAGTCCATCTAGCTACAGAGACAGGATAAATGCAACACCAAACCATATGGGTAGAAGTAGAAGGCTTGGCAGTCCTGCCTAGGTGGCATGGCAGTGATTTCATGAAGTAGTTCAGGTTGAAGGTGCAAGAGCTGGCATGCTAAGCAGAGGGCATAGGTGGGCAAAGGCCTGGAAAGGGATCAGAAGTATTCAAGCTGTGAAAATTGTGTTGTGATGAGCAAAAAATACAAGGGGCACTGGAGGGCATTTGTGCCAGGCCGAGCCTTGGGAAGGTTTGAAACAGGAAAAGAAAGTGACCGAGTGAGAGCCGATAGTTGTTTCTTTGCAAAAGCTGGAACTCAGAGAAGGGAAAAGCTGGGACACCAGGAAGTTAGGGGGTTACCTCTTGCTGGTTCCACGGTCTTCTTAGGGGAAACGGACTGGCATTTTGAGGTATCTTCTTCCACACCTCTAGGACTTAGTGCCCTAGTCCCTTCAATAGAACAGTGGTTAGTGAAATAGGGACTGAAGAAGCCCCAGGAGACCCAGGGTAGATAAGGACATCCGTTTCCTCCTCCTGCTCCCTCTAGGACCCAATGTCCTGTGGAGGGTGTCCCTCCCGCCTCCCCCCACTAGCCTCATGCCAGCGCCTCTAAGACATTTTCTTTTCTGGGCACTGGGGTCCAGCCACCTGTTGTCTCTAAGAAGAGAGAAGGAGCCATCCTAAACTTAGCAGCTGCTCTTGGCTTCCTGCACTGGCCCCTCCCAGCCTCAGTAGACAGCTGCCTCACCTAATATGGTTGCCATGGGGGTCCAGGCGCAGGGAGGAGCCCACTGGTTACTGGGTTCAGGGAGGGAGGGGGAACTTCATATAGGGATATACCGGAAGTTCTCAGAGAGCTGGGGTTTGGGGCTGGAGCGAGAGTACAGCCGGTAGTGATTTGCCTTATACGCAGCTGAACTGGGTTCAACACCAGACATCCCATATGGTCTCCTCAAGCACCACCAGGAGTAATTCCCGAGTTACTGAATTCCTGAATTCCAGAGCCAAGACTTACCCCCAAATATCGCTGGGTGTTGCAATAAAAGAAAAAAGAAAGAAAAGCAAGCAAGCTTGGGTCAAATGGAAAGTGTGGGAGTTGAGCAGATCAGGAGCAACATATATCTGAGAGACTGAGTGGGAATCTATAGCATTGGGTATGAGCTGGGAGTGAGGAGTTTCTGAAAACATGAAGACCAAGTAGGAACTGGGAACTTGGGAGCTAGATTGATTGAAATTTCAGGTGGCAGGCAGAAGAGCTAGTACAGCGGAGAAGGTACTTGCCTTCCCATGGCCTACCCTGTTTTGATCCATAGGGTTCCCTGAGCCCCATCAGGAGTGATCTCTGAGTATAGAGCAGAAGTAAGCCCTGAGCAGTCAGGTGTGGCACAAAAACACACAAAAAGAAATTTCAGGTGGTGGACTCTATGAGGAAATTGTGGACTTTAAACTATGGTGATGGAGAGCTGGAGGGATAGCACAGCAGATAGGGCACTTGCCTTGTACATGGCCAATCCGGGTTCAATCCCAGGCATTCCATATGATCCCCAAACACTGTAAGGAGTGATTCCTGGGACTGGAGCGATAGCTTAGTAGGTAGGGTGTTTGCCTTGCACGAAGCCAACCCAGGTTCGATTTCCAGCATCCCATATGGTCCCCTGAGCACCGCCAGGAGTAATTCCTGAGTGCATGAGCCAGAAGTAGCCACTGTGCATCGCCGGGTGTGACCCAAAAAGCCGAAAAAAAAAAAAAAGAGTGATTCCTGAGTGCAGAACCTCTTAGCATTGCCAGTATGCCCTCCCAAAACAAACAAACAAAAACCCCCAATGAAAACCCTAGAGATATGGATGGCAGAGAGCAGAGGGTTTCAAAAATTAGTGCCCTCCTGGAGTGATGGTACAGCGAGTAGGGTGTTTGCCTTGCACGTGGTTGGTCGGGGTTCGATTCCCAGCATCCCATATGGTCCCCTGAGTACCTCCAGGAGTAATTCCTGAGTGCAGAGCCAGGAGTAACCCCTGTGCATTACCGGGTGTGACGCAAAAATAAAATTAGTGCCCTCTGAGGTATTAATATAAAATGATCACTATGGATAAGAATTGAGTGCTGGGGGCTGGAGTGATAGCACAGCGGGTAGGGCATTTGCCTTGCATGTGGCTGACCCAGGTTCAATTCCCAGCATCCCATATGGTCCCCTGAGCATAGTCAGGAGTGATTCCTGAGTGCAAAGCCAGGAATAATCCCTGTGCATCGCCAGGTGTGACCCAAAAAATAGCAAAAAAAAAAAAAGAATTGAGTGCTAAAAGTAGATAAAAGGATATACATGATATATGGTAACCTTATAGTACCTCGACTTTGGTGGTGGGAACTGTACATGGGTGAAGGGACTGGTGAAATGTACACTGGTGTTTGGAACACTGTATGACTGAAACCCAGTCATGAACAACTTTGTAACTGTTTATCTCACAGTGATTTAATTAAAAACTTTTAAAAATAAAATAAAATTAGTGCCCAGGGTAGCCTTGGTGATCCAGCTGACTGCAGTCTGGTTTCTGGTAGATTATGAGGAGCAGAAAGACACGTGGCAATGAGGCGGAAGGTGTAAATCGGATTCTACTTCTGGACCCCCAAAAGAGTAAGAGCACAGATAGGGAAATTCATAGTTTTGGGAATTCATCGTTTGGGGTCAGGATTCCCACCGGGAGACACTCAGATGGTGAAGTCAGAGTAATTACAGCGGGGATTCTGGGGAGGAACTCAGATGGGCGACTGAGAGGGACTGGTGCTTGAAATTTCTGTAGGAAATAATGAAGAGAATTTGAGAGTAGGGGATTCTGGTTATAACGGCCTGAACTTGGGAGTGTTGGCGTTGGCTTCGGCAGGATAAGGATTAGAGACAGAGGGATTCTAGAGCGCTGGATCAGGGCGTTGGTTCTGTGGTGGAGCTCGCGGGCTCGGGTGCTAGCTCGAAATTGGGGGCTCAGAATGGACTGAGTCAGGACAGTGGGTGGCTCTCATTAGCTATGGGCGGCACGAACGCCCAGGCTCCAGGCCCTTTACGCGCTGTCCCCAACTGACACCTCTCCGCCTTCCGCGCTTGTCTCCGATTGTCACCGATGTCCCTGCGCTGGCACCGCCTGCTGGGCAGCATCCTGCCCTTTGGGTGCTGCCATTGGCTGAGACTTCTGTCTTCCTCCTCTGTTGCTAAAAGTGATGGAACGTGCTCATTGGCAGATGAAGTAAATTAATCGCAAATATGGCCCGCCCTACAGCTGTCATTCTTTCCTGACCTTCTTGGGATACTTACAGCATTCCTCGGGTCTTCCTATTGACTGCGGGTGCTGTCGGTCATCGCCCAGCGAGCCATCACTGTCTCTTCATTTGACCGCCTTCTCCCGCTTTTCATTGGCTCCTTTACTACTGTTCCTATTAGCCTGGCCTGCCCCTTCTCGCACGGCACCCGCCTTCTTCCGTGGTCATTTACGTACACTTCGCCGTCGTCATTGGTCAGGAGGTTCAGTTTCCCGCTTTTCTATTAGTCGCTCCCTTCGTCCCGCCTCCTCGCGCCTCCACTCGCCCTCTCATTGGTGCGCTGACCCTCCGCCTTCTCAGTTTCCTCTTTGGACAGGACCCGCCCCCGGCCCTACCCACCCTCCCAACGATTGGCTGAAGGCCGGTTCCCTCTCTCCTGTTATTCGTCCAAGGTCTCTGACGAGGCGGGAGAAAAAAAGGAGCGCGATGGGATGGCCCGCGCGCAGGCGTGAAGCCCCGAAACGCTGGGCGCTCCGCCGGCCCCGAGGCGTGTGCGCAGGCGCAAGGTCGGCTGCTCGTCCGAAGCGGGTGGGAGGGGGCGGCGGCGAGAGAGGTGAGAGGGCGCCAGTGAGACCCCGGCGCCCGGCGCCCGGGGACCCCTGCCCCGCCTCCGCGCGCCCGCCGCCGCCCGCGCGCCGCCCCCGCCCCCGGCGTGCGCCGGGGCCGCGCCCTTCGCCCTCTCCCCTTCCTCGGCGGGCGGCGCGGCGCGGCCGGAGGGGCGGCGCTTTCTGCGGCCGCCCCAGCTGGGGGGGATGTGAGGGGCGGCCCACGGCCATGGAGACGGGCCCGGCGCCCCTGGTGGCCCCGCCGCGCCGTCATGGCTCACCCGCGGCTGCCGCGGCCCCCTCGCCACCGCCCCGCGGCTCCCGGGCCGGGCCCGTCGTCTTGGTGGCTCCGGGCCCGCCAGTGACCACGGCCACTTCGGTCCCGGTCAACCTGGTGGCCCCCGGGGAGGCGCGGCCCGCCTGCGTCCCGGTGCCGGCCCAGACCTCGGCCCCAGCCCCGGCCGCGGCGCCGACGGGCGCTGCTGGCGCCGAGGGGCTGCCGACCCCGGAGGCTTCCCCTGAAGCCCCGACGGCGCAGATCGGCCCCGGTCCGGAGCCCCGGGTGCCTGCGGCAGTGGCGGGAGCGGAGAGGGCGATGACTCCGGCCCCAGGGGCGGACTCTCCGAAGACGATGGAGCCCAGGACCTCATCTGCTCCTGGACCAGACACCCCGGCCGGAACCCCCACCAGGACCCCTTCTCGAACGGCTCCTGGGCCCCTGACGTCCAAACCCCCGCTCGCTCCCAAGCCGGGAACCACAGTGGCCTCAGGAGCGACTGCACGGGTGGCACCGGTGACAGCAGGACAGGTGACTAGTGGACATGGAACTGCATCCGCAACATCAGCATCAGCAGGACAGGCTCCTGCGGACCCCACGGGGGCAGGCGCAGGCCCCGCAGGGACGTGTGAGCCGCCAGTAGCTGTTGTGATGGTGACCCCAGCCCCGGAGCCCGCCGATCACGCCCAGGACCTGGGCTCCACGTCCAGCCTGGGGCCTGGCATCTCTGGGCCTCGGGGGCAGGCCCCGGACACCCTGAGCTACTTGGACTCAGTGAGCCTCATGTCGGGGACCTTGGAGTCCTTGGCCGATGATGTGAGCTCCATGGGCTCGGACTCAGAGATAAACGGGCTGGCTTTGCGCAAGACCGACAAGTATGGCTTCCTTGGGGGCAGCCAGTATTCAGGCAGCCTGTGAGTATTGGGCACACAGTGGGGCTGCTTCAGGGAAGCAGTTTGGGAAGGGCGTTGCCCAGAATGGGGGTGTCCAGGACTCTGAGGATGGGGGTGGGGGGGAGTGGGAGAGGTATCCTTGGTGACCCCCATCAGACTTAGAGCATCCTGAGGTTTCTGTGGCTTTTTACTCTGAGACCAGGATTCAGGATGTGTGGGTTTGCGCCCAAGCCCTGCGTCTGGTGTGCTCTGTGCCCTTGAGCTAGTGCCTTCCCCACTTCAGTGCCTCAGTTTCCTCCCGGGTCAAGTATGACGTGATCTCAGCGCCTTGAGATGAAACTCTAGCAATGAGCCAGATATGCTGGAGGGACTGGTTGCCAGGGTTCTTGGGGGAAAGAGTCTGGGAGGGATGCAGACTCTTCCTCCCCCGCCCTTCCCCTCCCCCCAGTAACCCTGGGCCCAGTGGGATGATGGAGGGAAGACTCTGAGGCAAGGTCCTTATGTAAATCAGAAGGGCAGTCGAGTATCTTCACTGCAGAACAGAGGGTGCAGGAGGCCTCTTCCCCATTTCCTCATGTCCCCAGTACTACTTACTCTTTCCTAGTTCCCTCCAGGGGCCTGAGTCACTCCTGAGGTGGGGGAGTGATCGCCTCTGACTTCTTCCTTCCCTCTCTCCAGGTCCTGCCCGTTGTTCCTTCACCCCTTTAAGCACTCCTCAGCTCCTGCATCACTTGAGCACGCAGATAGCAGGCCTTGAAGTTGGTGTTAGGATAAAGTGGTTAAAAGTCCTCAGACACTTGGAGGGAGAAGTAATTCAAAGTATTGATTTCAGGGTAATATGCGTAGGCTCATAGGTGTAGGACCTGACCCTTGCAGGGTTTTGTGAGTGTCCAGCTTTTGCCTCGTCCAGGAATTCAGCTGAACCTGCTCTGAACTATAAAGGATAAGCAGGATTGGGGGGCTGGAGAGATAGGATAGCAGGTAAGGCACTTGCTTACATGCAGCTGACCTGGGTTCGATCCCAGCATCCCATATGGTCCCCTGAGCACCCCCTGGAATAACCCCTGAGCATAACCCAAGTGTGGTCCCCCATAAAACAAAACCAAAAAGAATAAGTAGGACTTAATCTTGGCTTTTGTGATGGGGTTGGGGAAGCCCTGCGGCCGGCAGTTCTCTGCAGGGTATCCAGCAAATAAACCCAGATCTTTGCTTGCACACCAGCATTCTCAGTACTGTCAGGAAGGCACCTGAAGTTTGACCCTGGTGCTTTCCATGCTTGAGTGATATGTTGTGTACCTAACTTAGAGATGAACAAATAGGATTAGAACAATTGAGTGAATTGCCCCAACTCAGTAATATGGCTCTTGGTGACCAATGGCCCCCCCATGCCATGCTGTTGTGTGGAATCTGAGTTGAATTGGATCTGTGATCAATTAGGTGACAGTCACCACATAAGGTGCCATTTCTCTCGGCTTTGTAATTTTGTCCCTCTAAAATTCCTGCCATGCTGGAGAAATCTCTTTTGAAACAAGATTAGCTACGGTACTTGTTCCCTAAAAAGCTTTAAGAATTTCCTTATTGCCCACAGGATAAACTCTGAGCACCTTTAGCCTGCACACTGGCTTCTTACTATCTGACTCGCCCGTGCCTCTGATTTTCTCTTCCTCTTCTCCTCACTGGGTACTTTGTCTTGCCTGCTTCATTCCCAGTCTGCCCCACCTGTCAGGAATGCCCTTCTTCTTTTCCTTCATGAGTCATATCTGTCCCCTCCTCCAGGAAGCCTTCTCTGATAGTCACCACTGCTCATCTAATTAGTTGTCTCTGCTGTGCATCTTTGTATTTGTATTTTTCACACCATCTTGCAGTTATATTCCACAGCATATGCTACATATTTTGTTTGTGTGTGACCTTTCTGCAGGCAGGAAAGATACTGTGCACTCCCTAGCCCTTAAAGGAGATTGGAAGTGATTTATGATGAAGATGAACCAAGGTGGCCCTCTGTTTAAAGTTCCCTTAGGGAAAAATTGATATGGAATGTGCATGTTCCATTTAAGAACCCTGTGTATACAGTGAGAGTCTCAATTGTCTTCTAAGAACATTGTGACAGGTGGCATCCCTTTCTACAGATGAGAAACTTGGGTTATCACTTGCTAACTCTTCAAGGACTTTAGGGATGGAAGTGAGATTTGAGTTCAGGTCGACCTGGACATCCGAGCACTTAACCATTTCCTTCACCTGGAACTAGGTCCTGCAAGTAACTCTCTTGATATTGATGGAGAGTCTTGACAAACAGTGGTCAAACAGCTTGTTGAGAGAGTTTCCTGCGCCCATTGGGGATGATTTCAGGAAGGAAGAGAAATGACTGAAGGGATCTCTAGGATCTGATAGGAGTCTCCATTTTTTTCTAAGTGAAAAAGTCAATTCTGCATTTTATGGACATCAGTTAATACTACGGAGGCCCTGCCATGAGTTGTCTCAAGTAACTGTTCAGTCAAGTCAGGTAGATATTTTTCTCTTCATCTATTAATGAGGAAATTGAGGCTTAGAGCAGTTAAGTGACTAGCCCAAGGTCACACAGTAGTTAAGTGGTAAAGTTAGTACTTGGATGCAGGCCTAAGACAAAGTGCGGCTTTTAGGGAGTTAGAACTATAATACGGGGTAGGGTGTTTGCCTTGCAAACAGCTGGCCCTGGTTCTCTCCCCGGTACCCCATATGGTACCCGTACCCCAAGCACCGCCAGGAGTAGTTCCTGAGTGCAAAGCCAGGAGTAACCCCTGAACGTCTCCAGGTGTGATTCAAAAAGGGAAAAAAAAAACAATGTATGGCTCTTGAATATTCCATATGTGTCCCAAACTTGTCTGTTTCGAGTGGAATTTGGATACTCTCCAACATGAGAACTCAATCCTTTGAAATAGTTCTTCTAAATGAAGATTTGCTCTCAGTGTGGATTGTGAATGATTCAGTAGCCGGACATCCTGAGTAGCTCAAAAGATGCTCTGTGTCAACCCTTTCATTTGAACCTGGGAGGGTAACTTGCCTTCGTTTTCCCGGCAGTCCAGGTTTTATATTACTGCTACTGATTCTTTCCATGCTGCTCCCATTCTGCAGAGAGAGTTCCATTCCCGTGGACGTGGCTCGGCAGCGGGAACTCAAATGGCTGGAGATGTTCAGTAACTGGGATAAGTGGCTGTCGCGACGTTTTCAGAAGGTTTGAGAAGCTGAGTGGTGGACAGGGCAGTAGATGGGGGCTGGGGGCACAGGGTGGGCCCATGTGCTCCGGGAAAGCCCAGGAGCTTGACATTCTCTGCTCTCTGGACCATGTTGGAGGTGGGTGGTACTTGGGTCTGTGGGGAGAAATG